ATAAGGTATTTTTGAAATGAATGAAAATTTTAATCCTAAGTACTAGAGCTGGCCAGAATTTAGCAGACAAAAGGGGCTGCTTTTGTATTAATTTTCATCCTCATACACATACTGATGGTGGCAAGCTACATTGTAAACCACAGCTGCAATGGGGCAGGCTGACAGACAATATAATACCATAAACAATCAGCACCACCTCTGACCACCAGCAGCAGGCAAGAAAGATAAGGCATCTTGCCAAAGGTTACAACTGAGACCGGACAGAGCTGGGGTTTGAACTAGTAACCCACTGGGTACAGGACAAACTCCAACTTACCAAACAGTGACCACTGCAATGAGCTGCATGTGCAGGACCATAACCCTCACCCTAACCATGATGAAGAGACTGATGACAAAGGCATTAACATCAGACAGGAGGCTGAGGTGCTGATGATGAAAAATGTAACTTCAGGCAACGTTTTACATCTAATTTCTGCTTGAAAATACTTCACAACAAAAAAGCTAAACCAGAACCATTAAGAGAGATTAATGCAAACTTTTTATAGCTGTGCAAAGGTAAGAAAAATAAGGTTTTCTAAAAGAAAAAAAATCACTGACACTCCTGCAGAATCCGTCCAGACCACTATGGGGTTCCAGACCCCCACGTTAAACACTTCTTGTTTAGACCATTAGATGGTCTATAACCATCCTGATGGGAACCAACCGTCATGCAGAAAAACTGACATTTCAAGGATTGAAATAAAGGGGCTTGCAGAAAAAGGTTTATGAACACTATTGCAATGATGGAAAATATGAGTGTCACAATAATTTAAATTATTTTAATCACATGTTCCCTGTTTCATAAATACGTATTTTCTTTTTATCCATATTACAAAAAGATCAACACACATCTGCCTTCCTTTAATGGTCTGTTCTCCTATTTCTCCCATTTTAAAGAACAGAATGTGGAGATATTTTAGTCCTAGTCTCATGTTTATTCCCCAGGGAAACCTTAGAAAGCCATAGATGTCTAATTAAAGTTCTTTGATATTTAGATTAACTATAATCAGGAATTAGAAGATGTCCCCAATTTCATCTTTGAAGATGACAATAATTTGTAATTAGCAATAAAAAAAAGGATAAACATCACTGAAGATCTTTAAAGAAGGTGCAAAGCAGGTAGGGTGTGGAAGTCAGCTAGNGGTGCAAAGCAGGTAGGGTGTGGAAGTCAGCTAGTAGTATGCAAACATAATGTCCAAACTGCACAGATCTATGGGTGTAGAATATGCAACTGTGGACCCAGGTTTTGTGTCTTTGTTAATCAGACTATCTGTGAAAGTCTGGTGCAAATCAAATAAATTATGTGGGCTATATTTCCCCAAAGGTCAAAGGAGACTGGTGCCACAAAGGACAAGGTACAGAGAGTATTTGTGCATTTAAATATATATGGAGAGTGAGAAATTTGTATCGGTGGAAGAAAAAAGGTCTGCACAAGCTGACTCAGATTAATGCTGCATTAATTGGGAAGCAATTCATTATGCAATTAAACCAAAACAGGTAAAACAGCAAGCATTGTGTTTATTACGTGAATTCATACAATCTGGACTTTCTCTAGCTGCAACCTCCTCCAGGTTAACCCTAACCCTAACTTATGTTGTCTAGCGACCATGATGGGATGAGGCAAGGATCTTTGAAGCCAATGGGGCCAACGGTTGCAACATTCCATAAATCAATTCAGTTTAACAAATCAAAGTTTGCTCTATTAAGATTCATGTCTATATTATCCTGAGATGTTTTAATGATTTATAAAACTTCTCTGAAATTTATTTAATTTCCCTTTTGGAATAATGAAGTGTTTTTGAATTTAATTAAAAAGCAAGCCTTGACTCTTTGAAAAGTACACGTACGCAGGCCTTAAAAATGATGACATGATGAAATGTTTTAAAACACAATTTTAGAAAATCTCAACATTACATGGCTAACATGGCAAAAGCAGCTCAATGAGAAATTCATGAAATCTATGAATCCAGTTTTGAAACAGAAAAAAAAATTATTGTTGATTTTCAATAGCACAGAGATCTTAAATATTCATTCAACTAAAATTATATATATATATTTAAAGAAACACCTTAATAGTGGTAATGACCACTATTCACATCCAGCTCTGCAGCCACACTCTCCTGGATTTTGAGTAGCTCTGTAGATCGTTAAGTATCTAGCTTGACACACAGATTTTAGCATATGTAAACCCTGTAACTTTGAAGTTAACTAATTACTGATATAATCAAACCAATTTATAATAAATTCATACAAATGGCATTGATAGTTTTTAAAACACACCACATAAAATATTCCAGAAAAATTAAAAAAACAATCCACTGGAATTTGTTTCCAAGTTTGAAGACGTTTTCGCTTCCCATCCAGGAACCTTTTTTCAGTTCAAAATGTCAAAAATGTAAACATTTGACATTTTTTATTAAGAGGGTTTTAACTGTTTTAGAGTTTGATTTGATTCAAAACATAAACACATCCCTTATGTTGGGGATTTTCCTCCAGGCCTTAAAAACAACAATTATCAAACCATTGTTAAAAAAGAGAAACTTGGACAAATTGGTCCCACAGAACCACAGGCCCATTTCAAACCTCCCCTTCATCAGTAAGATCATTTTAAAAAGTTGTATTTCAACAGTTAAATGCCTTCTTAACAGCGATCAGCTGCTTTGATGTCTCCCAGTCAGATTTCTGGGCCAACCACAATACAGAGACTGCCTTGATTAAGGTTTTCAATGACATCTGTATA